GTTCAGCTTGCGATGACTCGTCATCGTTTGTGTGTGTGTTTACCCCCCCTTCTTCTGATGAGGGGTTGTTTGAGGCAACAACAGCAACGTCTTGGTGTGTTCCACCGACATCTGTAATGTTGTCATTCGCGCCCTCAGATGTAATAGGGATTACATTACTGCATAGTGCTCCTGGTTGGGTTCCCGTGTCAGTGTGTTTCAAAGTTTCTAACAACCTGCGTATTTTCTCTGTCTCTTCCGAGCTCAGAGGTGTAGGGCCTTGTTTCTGGAACTTTTGTGTTTTTTTCGCCTCGGTTCGTTTCGGCCGAGGTGGGGGACGGTCGGGTACGTCTTTCGGGGGTTCCTTTACGTACTGCCCCTGATGATATGGTTTCCCATATCTTTGCGTCCTGCGCTCACCCCTTTTAGGATAATCACTGTCATCCTCTGAAAGAGGAGCTTTTTTGTCCCAGCGTGCACCTTCAGGACGCGGTTTGTTAGTTTGAACAGACTGTTTTCTCTCTTTCTTAGGAGGAGGCGGCGAAGCACGTCGTCCTTCCAGTTCAAGAGGGAGGGGTTTAACCTTTACACTAGGAAACACTTCAATGGGCGTCTTAGCATGAGAACATGCTTCAAACACATTCACAGCACACTGTTTAATCTCACTGATGGATTTTTCTCTGAAATTTGCCATCATTTGTACTGATTGTCTAAAATCAGAGTGGAGATTTTTGCTGAAAACAAACTTAAAACCATCATCTTCTTCCATTCCGGTCTCATTTCTGTTACCAAAATAAGCTTGGAAGATTCTTTTGTAATAAACTTTTGGATGTTCAGTTTTACCCTGCATGACCTTGTCTGCAGCTGGGAAACCAGCAGGTCCCGTGCAGGAGTCGTACTCTCTGATCAAAACTTCACACAGAAGGTTGTAATCCCTCTTCGTTGCATCTGGTAGACGCTCGATGAAGGTGAACACCTCTCTGTCCGAAGTGAGCCGTATCAGACTGATCTTATCCTCTACCGTAGCATTAGGATAAGATCTCAATCTGAACTCCAGATCTTTGAGGTACGCTTTTGTTCCAGATGATCCCATCGGTCCAGGCACAAAGCGTTGTACATATTTTGAGATTTTCTGCAAATCATCCATTGAAGGAGACTGCATTAACGGTCTCACATGCGTGGTTGGTGGTGCAGATTGGTCAAGGACTGCCCCTACCACCCGAGATGGGGGTGGGGGTGACGGCATGGTGTATACCGATTCAGTGAGTTGATATCGGTGCAGGTCCATCCCCACCGCCCGAGATGGGGATGGGGTGACCGCATGGTGTTAGTAGGAAGAGGTGCAAGTGGGTGCAGACCCGTCCTTATCCCCCGAGGCGGGGGTGTTGGAACGGGGCTAAGGGGAGGAGGTGTAACAGCATCTGTCTGGGGTGGTTGTGGCTGTTCGTCTCTGAGTCTCAGACCAGCCCGCCCCATATCAGAAATCTGGTTTGTAGCTGTAGCTAGTTTCTCCTCACAAGCTGTCAGGCGCTCCTGTGATGTCTGACATTCTCTTTGTAGATTCAGCCATTGTTGGAGTATCATCGCCTTGTCTGCCTTGCAAACGTCCAGCTCCTTTAATGCGATCTGTAACTGTGCTTGTAGCACATCGTTATCTGAACACACGGCTCGGTACGCTTGTTCTTTATCCCTAAATCTCTCCTCATATGATCGAGCCTGTTCTGACAGCTCTGTCTTTGCGAGGTCCCTATCAGTCTGAATTTGTTGTTTCTGCAATTCAGATTGATTCATCAATACGTCACACCTGTCCTTTTCAGATTGATATCCGTTGAACAGCGTGACATTTTGTTCACCCAGATGGTCCACTTCCGCTTTCAGAAGCAGGGAAATTTTTGCCAAGCGTTCACGGCTCGATTTTGTGTCCTCCGACACTTTGGCTGCTTTCGCCAACCTCTGCAGTTCCTCATTTCTTTGATCATCATCAAGGTTTTCTAATTGCTCTAATTGTGTACCAATAATTGAATTTGTTAAAATATATAAAGCCGACTGGACGGCATCTCTGGATTGAAAGGGGTCAGTGTTTACCTCTTCGTCTTCCATTATCTGCTATTTAGAAATTAAATAGGAGATGTAAATGTTTAGGTGGTAAAATAAAATCAGAAGAGTTTCTCTCTACTGATGTATTTACTCTTATTTTGTGAGTTTAACAATTAAACGTGCGTTATCTTTTTAGCAAGTGAGTAAACTTTTTCCATTTTTGTGAATATCTGTAACTGTTTCTATTTTTTAAAAGTTTGCTTTAATTTTTATTTTGTACCTTTTCTTAAGGAATTATCAGTGAATAAAAATGTGTTCGGTAAATGCTCTTTGCATAAATACCTTTATAACTTTTAAAATGCAAGATAACAGTGATTATTCAACTTTGAGGAGCGTTTATTAACTCAAAAATGCCTTACAGAAAAATAAAAACGTTTAATTTCACTCTTTAAACCTAAAACGAAGTGAAAACCTGTGATTTTCACGTGTATCCAGAAGGTGTCAGTACAACCTTATTAATTGTAACTCAGACACTGTTAGTGTTGTCCAGTAGGGGTCGCTATGACTTCCTGTGGCGTCCGGTCGTTAGCTGTTAGCTCAAAATTAGTATCGGCTAGACTCGGATAAAACCAACATTTCTGAACGGATTTTTTACACAAACGTGGCAAAATTTTAGCAATTAGACTTCGAAGAACTTAAACAGCGTTTCAGAACACAGCTTTAAAGCGCTTTTCAGCTTTAAAAAGCAGATTTTATTCCCTATGAAAACGAGTTTCCATTTCCGGGTCACGTGACTGAAATCACCAATGACAAAGCAGCAGGGGTGAGAGGCAGTGACGTAGCCACGTCAGTCAATTTCTCAGCAAATCAGAGCGCTCCACAGCAGCAAATCAACCAACCACGAAGCGTTAGCAGCCACCAGCATGTTAGATTAGCCTGAAACCATTTCGTCAACTTATCGTCTTTTAAACTGTCAAAATGCACTTTTTCTGTTAAAAATGTAACGAATCAACTCTGAGCTGTACGGAGTCTTCTACTCCGGTCTCAAAAACGTCTTTCTAGCTATTTAAAAAAAACCTCGTCCGAACCTTCTTCAGAACCGAGCCGGTCCAGAACCGACCAGACGGGGTGTGTTTTGTGACGTAAAAGGTTAGAATGCAGCAAGAATTGTTATGGAAAGATCAGAAATGTTCTCACAGACAGAGAGAGTTTTGTTTTGGCGAGTTTAAGAAACAGGTGCCAAAACCCCCTGTTGACGTCTGAGAGGATATAAACAGGACAGTTGTTCCAACGCATGTCTGCTTCACTCCTGACCCTGGAAACGTACACTTGCTCATTCAAAGGCAGAAATCAGAAAATGCATAAAAATCTGTAACAGACCTCAACATGAATTCTAACTTTGCATGAGAATTAAAAATCATTACACAGTTAATAAAATTGATTAGTTCACTGCAACATCTAAAATGGTTTGAACTAAGACACTTTGATTATCAACATTTGTAAAATAGTAATGATAATAAAAAGAGAGTGTTCTTTCACTTGATTATCAAGAAAGAGAGTCTCAGGATGGGTGAACCTGTATCTCTGGATTCAAATCAATGAAATGACAGTTTCTGTCCCACAAGGTTCTTAAGGTCAAGGGTTTTGACCTTAGGCTTAGTCGTGACACCAGATTAAGTTCACTACAAAGGCTACCTACAGGACAGATCTGGTTGGCAGGCCGTAAACTGAGGAAGTCCTCTGGATGGGGGATGAAACATTTCTCAATTAAAGAAACAGGTCCAGGTGACACCATTTAAATTTTTTGCTGTTATCTACCTGGATGATTGAGCTTACAACCTTTTGACTCATGAATTGTTTTGCTAAAAGACAAACCAGTTTCACTCCAATCATTAGTGTAAATAGTTTTAAGCAAAGACGTGCAACGTGTAGTACCCTCAGTGTGTCTTGGAGATGATGGTACTACTAAACCAAATTCTAGCTCAATGTCTCTAAAACTGCCTGAGTTTGGGTTATTTTTGTAATCATAAATAAATAACCTTAACATGATTTGGACCCTTCTCTCCAACTCATTGCTTTATCCATGTCAGGAACACGTATGTGCTGTCAACAGGACGATTGTCCTAATGTCTATGATGTAGAAACACAAGGTTCTTATTGTTTTAAAGCTCTAATTTAGCTCCCCAACTGTACCACAGCACCAGGCACCCATGAGTACCAGCTTGGGTAAACTCCTCCTGGAGAAGACTCTGCGAGGGCAGGACAGGTGATGGTGTCTGCAGATCCAGCTGCGCATGTTGAGCCACTCTGCTGTTCCGCTGGGCGGGGGTCCATCCTCCCTGTGCAGCAACACCAGCTGCTTCTGAGCCCGCACGGCACTGCTCTCCAACATTCGCTCCAACTGCAGGAGAGAAAAGGAGGAAACGGTGTCACGTTGTTGCCCCTTCTGTCCAGCCTTGTCTTTAGTTTTCATTATTCAGCCCAGTAATGTCTGTCACTCGTCCTCAGCTCTTGTCTCCCTGCACCATGCCTCCTCTGCTCAGTCTGCAATCAGCCCTCATCTAGTTCACCTATTCACCTCCCTACTTAAGCTCCCTGTTCACCTTCATTCAGTGCCAGATTCTCCAACCTGCAAAGTAGTAGAAATCCAGCGTACCCAGTCTTGACTCCTGCCTCGTTTCTGAACCATGGCCTGTTTGACTCCTCGTCTTTCCTGTCCCTCTTGGATTGATCTGCTTTATGCTAACGACTCTGTGCCCTCTCTCGACCACCATTCTGGATCACGTTTTTGGCTCTGTTCTGCTCTCTGCCTCACTGTGTACAAACCCCTGCTTCCCCTCTTGGACCTCGGAACTGGCTCTCCCATTTTGGACCTACACAATCTCTTCTGCTCCGCTCCTGCTGTTACTCTGCATGAGTGATGTCATCGGCACCAGCGTGACAACAGTACCTGTTACTCCATCAAGACAGAGGTTAGTGATTATCACTGTACCTGTCTCCGCCTCCCCATCCACACCAAGTTCACTAACACTCCTGTCTTGACAGATCTGACCCAGGCCCCGACCCTGAACTACACCAGAAGCTGTTTATCTCCTAATAAACATTTTAAACCATTCCTGGTGTTGATGTGCTGATCCAGAACCGGTTCTTTTCAAATGGACAATCTTTATGGTCAGAACACTCACTGAAATTATATGAAGTCCTATTAGTTCAAAGAGAGCAATCAAAACTATCTTCTAACAATTTTCTATGTAAAAATAAATCGATGAATAATATGTAGACCATTATTCAGCTGTACACACTTGACATTCCTGATTGCACGGGTTTTAGGAGCAGCATGCTTTCAGTGTTTTGTCTCATTCTTCACAATGAAACAAACAGAGGCATACTTGGTGTATCTGAAGCTGAGCATGTGCAGAGACACAGACCTCACCCACAGTGGGCTCCTGCTCCCCCAGTCCCACGATGATGATGCAGTCCGCCTGACGGATGCAGCGCTGGGTCCAAGGAGTGAGGTTGGAGTCAGACTGGTAGAGGACAATGCGATGGATGTCCTCCTGCTGTCCAAGCCAGCTGGACAAACGGTACTCATGGACACTTTGAAAGACGTAGTGAAACATGTTAGTACGTACAAGACCAGCAGAAAGCACGACTGAATCACTTTTTGATTTTAGACAAACAGCATTTTCTGTGAAAATACAATGAGTGCTGAATGACTGCTAAAAATAAACTGTTTACAATCAAAAAGGTCAAAAGAAAAGCTACATTTAGCAAATCAAAAGGCTAAAAATGTTAGAGTAAATAAAAGCTAAACAGCAGAACAGTAGCTAAGAGCTAAAATTAGTAAAACAGTAGCAAAAAGATAAAAAACACAGAACAGTAACTAAAAACTAAAATTAACATTTCTAAAAGCTAAAAAAAAAACAACAGTAGCTAAAAGTAGTAAAACTGGAGGTAAGTGAGACCACTTCTGTTGTGACTTGGCACTATATAAATGAACTGAATTGAAAAAAGCTAAACACAGAGCAGTAAATAAAGGTTAATTAGTAAAATTGTACCATCTGTAGCTAACACCTAAAATAAATAAAACTGTAGCTAAAAGATAAAAACTCAGAACAATAGCTAAAAGCTAAAAATACAGAACAGTAGCTAAAATCTAAAAATATCAAAACAGTTTCTAAAAGCTAAAAGTAGTAAAACAGTAGCCAAAAGCTAAAAAACCCACAAAACCGCAGATAAAAGTTTAAATTAGAATAATTCAATTCAATTCAAAAACACTTTATTAATCCCAGAGAGAAATTAAATGTTGTAACTCATCATCCTGGTTTCATTAAAGAGTTCTTCTAGATGCTGATGGCTATGGGCAGGAAGGATCTCTTGTAGCGTCTGTCCTACAGCAGATCTGAAGAAGCCTCTGACTGAAGACACTTTGTTGTTGTATGACACTCTGTTGTTGTATGACAGTCTGATGAAGAGGATGCTGAGGGTTGTCTATAATGTTCTTCATTTGATGAAGAATCCTTCTTTGTACAATCATCTCCAAAGGTTCTAGAGGAGTCCCCAGAACTGAGCCAGCCTTCTTTATGAGCTTGTTGATCTTTTTTAAGTCACTTGCTCTGGTGCTGCTCCCCCAGCAGATGATGGCAGAAGAGACAGCACTCTCTACAACAGACTTATAGGAGATATGCAGCATCTTGCTGCAAACACTGAAGGACTTCAGCTTCCTCAAGAAGTACAGTCTGCTCTGTCCCTTCTTGTAAACGCTTCACTGTTGCATTTCCAGTCCAGTCTATTGTCCAGGTGAACCCCAAGGTATTTATACTTCTCCACCACCTCCACTTCTTCTCCCATGATGGAAACAGGGTTGGACCTGTTCCTGTTTCTCCTGAAATCTACAATCATCTCCTTTGTTTTGTTCACATTCAAGATGAGATGATTGTTTCCACACCATGCCACAAAGCGGTCCACCAGTTCCCTGTACTCAGCTTCTTGTCCATCTCTGATCCACCCGACCACGTCAGAGTCATCTGAATATTTCTGCAGATGACAGGAGTCTGTTTTATACTGGAAATCTGAGGTGTACAAAGTGAAAAGGAATGGAGAGAGTACAGGCCCCTGTGGTGCTCCTGAGCTACTGACCACCTGGTTGGACACACAACCCTTCAGTCTCACAAACTGTGGTCTGTCTGTCAGGTAGTCTTTGATCCAGGTGATTGTTGAGGCCTCCACCTGAGTCTTCTGGAGTTTCTGACAAAGCAGATCAGGCTGGATTGTGTTAAATGCACTGGAGAAATCAAAGAACATGACTCTCACAGTGCTGTCTGCCTTTTCTAGATGACAGTGAGTTTGCTGAAGCAGGTGTATGATGGCATCTTCAACTCCAAGTCCATGCCGATAAGCAAACTGCAGTGGGTCCTGATATGTGCTTGTTTGTCTAGTCAGGTGGGTCAGCAGAAGTCTCTCTAGGACCTTCATGATGTGGGATGTCAGGGCAACAGGTCTATAGTCATTGAGGACTGATGGGTGAGTTTTCTTTGGTACTTGAACAAGGCAGGATGTTTTCCACAACACTGGAACCTTCTCCTGGGTCAGGCTAAGGTTGAAGAGGTGCAGCAGAACCCCACAGAGCTGCTCTGCACAGACCTTCAGGACTCTGGGACTGACATCATCTGGACCTGCAGCCTTATTCCAGTTCAGTCTCTCCAGCTGCTTCCTCACCTAACTTCTGGAGACGCAGAGGGGGGAGGCAAAGGAGGTATCAGCATATTCTGATTTGGTTGAAGACCAACATGTAGAAGAAGAAGGATCCATGACAAAGGTGCTAGATAAAATATTTGAGGTATGACAGGACAGCCTTGGGTCAAAGGAGGTGGTATGTATGTTTGGCTGTGGGCAAGAGAGGAGGATGCTGAGCTTGTTCCTGAATTGAACCTATTGAAGAACGTGTTCAGTTCAATGGCTCTGTCCAGGCTTCCATCCTTCTGATCCTCCTTCTGCTTGAAGCCTGTGATCTTCTTCATACCTGACCACACCTCTCTGATATTGTTCTGCTGCAGCTTGCTCTCCAGCTTCTTCTTGTACACCTCCTTGCTGTTTCTTATCTGGACTTTTAGTTGCTTCTGTGTACTCCTCAATAATTCCCTGTCTCCCTCCCTGAAAGCTCTTTTTTGTGGTTTAGCAGTTCCTTCAGGTCAGTGGTAATCCAGGGTTTCAAGGATTCAAGGTTCTTTATTTGTCATACACACCATGCGTGGTGCATGTGGTGGAATGAAATTGTGTACACAGGATCCCAGTTACATCCAACAAAAGTATAAAATGTAAAAGAAAAACAGTAATAAGATCTAAGATATGAACAAAGAAAAGTGTTAAATAAAAAATACACCAAGCAAGCACTAGTTGTATAAACACAATAAAAACAGTATGCCAAACAGCAGCACGAACATGAGTCTGTGTGAACAGATGAGTACGAATGAACAAATCAGCAGCATCATGAATTCAAGTTCAAGTTTAAGTTGTGTTTATTTGTCTTAATGCAAGGTTAACATAGGGTTAACAATACAATGAAATGCTTAGGATGAGAAGAACTGACTTGACTTGCTAAAAAAAATCAAAGAACAAACCAACAAGAAATATTAAAACAATGCAATAAGGGCACACACACAAAGAAGATAATGATGTGATTTTGATGTGATTCATGAAGATGAGCCAGTGCTGAAGGTTATGGTGGAGAAGGAGAAGTTGTGGATCCTCACAGACTGTAGACTGTTTAAGAAAGTCAGGACTCAGTTGCATATGGAGGGGCTTAGTCTTAGTGTGAGTAGTTTGTCCATCAGGGTCTCAGGGATCATGGTGTTGAAGGCAGATTTGAAGTCCACAAAGATCATACGGAAGTAGGAGTCCTTCTGCTCCAGGTGGGTGAGAGCAGTGTGGACCACAGAGGAGATGGCATCTTCTTTTGATCGATTATTGCGGTTTGCATACTGGTGAGGGTCCTCGTTGATGTTGATGGTTGTTTTGAGGTGGGTCATGACCAGTTTTTTTACTCATTTAGCGACTGGGTGGCTGTGGCTGAGTGGTTAGAGCAGTCGTCCTCCAGTGCAAGAGTTGGGGGTTCGAATTCACCAGTAGTCACATGCCAAAGTGTCCCTGGGCAAGACACTGAACCCCTCATTGCCTCCGATGTGTGTCCCATTGGTGTATGAATGTGATAAAGCACTGATTAGTCTCTTTAGAATTATTTGTTCAATTAACTTTGTAGAGAAATAGTTGAGTGCTGTATGAATGTGTAGTGAACTAGACCTCCTACATCAATCTGTCTCTGAGGACCTTCAGGGGATAGGAACTGTTATTTCATTCATTTGAATCCAGAAATACAAATTATCTCATCAAGAGACTATTTAATTGTATCCTGAATTAATCAATTGAAAGAACACTCTTCTTTTTTATATTATCATTAACTATTTTACAATATCTTGATAATCAAAAGTGTGTTTAGTTCATACCGTTTCTAAATGTTGAAGTAAACCACTCATTTAAATCAACTGTGAAACAGTATTAATGATTTTTAAACCTCATTAGACTTGGATCATACAGTTAAATGTCTATTTATGAAGTAAGTGTGCATTTAGTCTTCTGTCTGAATGAGTAGTAGTGGATTTGAGGGCGAAAGTCAGAGACAAGTTATGAGAACGAAGTGCCTTGTTTTAAAACTCTCAGACAGTAAATAAGAACTAGCTGGCACCTGCTGTCTCACTTCTTCAAAATATTTCTCTGTCTGTCCTAACCATTCTTAAAACATTTCTGCTGTCTACTGACTCCTAATAACCCTCTGACATCACTAAAACTACACCCCTGCTGGCTGTTTCAACCAATCAAGAAGTACCAAGTGACAAGAAGTGGATACCCTTTAAAGGGCAACACTTCTTGGAACTATTCAATCTTCAGTCTTTTCCAGTCTTCCGAGGCTTTCCAGTCCTCCTGGAACTTTCAGTCCAAGATGAGACTCAGTCTGATGGAGTCTTACAGCTGAACTAAGTAGCTGATGGATTTGACCATGTGCCAAGTGTCCGTCCATTCCAGCGTAGTCACAGCCTGCTTCGGTTGTGACTCAACCCGAGCATTAAATGCTCAACTTCTAAGGAAGCGTATTCTGTTGAACTGAGTACTTCGTCACGGCTTCTGACGACCCCAGCCACTCTGACCTGAGACGCTGAAAAGGGAGTGTGCCAATGGACCTCTGTTCCGGAGTGGATGTATCCACCATCTCAGGTAACAAAGTCGTTGCATGCCCTGAAGTGTACCGGAGGGCTGAGCTGGATTCGGAGGAAGGGTGCCATTTTCTGGTTCAACACATAACTTTCATCCATCTAAACCTCCTCTTTAAATCTATTACTTCTCTTTAAACTTCTATTCGCCAGTAAATCAAGCTAGATGCCTTCAGAGATGAATCAGTCTCAATCAGTAATTTTCTGTTGTCTTGTTTAGTAAATCGTGCCAAGTTTATTAATCAGAAACAGATCAGCAAATCAATGTGTACATGTTTGATGTTAAATTTTGATTCTGTTAAATAAATGACCGCATTTATTCTGATGGGTCAAAGATAAAATGGCGTCTCATGTCACTAATTACCACTCCACTCCACAAGTTATCTTGGTCACATGGAAGAAATTTAACTCGAAAAAGAAAGAATCCATTGTAATTGAACAATTAATATTCTTTGTGCTTGAACTAGCTTTAAGAATAATTAATTAGTAGTATGTTACAGCGAAAGCTGTCCCTACATCTCTACAAATGGGTAAATGAGGGCACAAATTGTGTTGTAAAGCACTGAGTGTCTTCATAAGATAGAAAGGCGCTACATAAGTACAGTCCATTTACCATTTACCATATAAGGGTGAGGGTTACTGGCCGATAGTCATTCAGACCAGTCAATGTAGAGCTCTTTGGGACTGGGATGATGTTGGCGGCCTTCAGGCAGGTAGGAACTGTTGCCACGGTGAGGGAGAAGTTAAAGATGTCGGCCAACACCTCGCAGAGCTGATCGGCACAGTCTTTCAGCACTTTCCTGGGGATGTTGTCTGGGCCAGTTGTTTTGTGAGGATTAATCCTCCTGAAGGTCCTCCTCACTTCGGCTGAGGTCATGCTGAGAAACTCTTCTTCCGATGGTGAGGTGAGTCTGGTGCTGGGTGGTCTGTTCTGGTTTGGTCTTCAAATCACGCGTAGAACCTGTTGAGGGCATCAGGCAGTGATGGGTCATTGTTCACTTCTGCCTTTATAATCTGTTATACACTTAATGCCCCTCCACGTGCTCCCTGGATCCTCTGTGCATATGTGGTTTTGGCCTTCTTAATACCAGCAACCAGGTCTTTCCTTGCCCTTCTCAGCTCCTGTGAGTTTCCAGACCTGAAGGCAGTGTTCCTGGCTTCCAGCAGGGTGCGCACCTCTGCATTCAGCCAAGACTTTCTGTTTGGGTAACTCCTAATGTATCTGATGGTGGTGACATCATCAGCACATTTGCTAATGTACCTCAGGACTGAGGATGTGTATTCCTCCAGGTCTAGCGACCCCTCAGTTTCAGCAGCTTCTCTGAAGACCTGCCAGTCTGTGCATGTGAAACAACCTTTCAGTATGGCGTCACTATTCTGCATCCAATATTTAACCTTCTTTTGTACTGTGTCTAGAGTGTCTCAGAGAGTGGAGTTAAGCAGGGGCCAGGAAGATGGAGACAGGGAGTCCTAGGGGGTGCGGCTTTGTATGTATCTTGTACGTTCATGTAAACACAATCCAGCATGTTGTTTCCACGTGCTGGTATGGCCACATGTTGGTAAAATCTTGGCAGGCAGGCCTTTAGATTTACGTGATTAACTTCACCAGCCACCATGAAAAGAGCCTCAGGGTGTTTGCATGTAGCAATCTAAAATTATCATGAAGCTCCTGCAGAGTGTCGGTAGCATTAGCATCCGGGACTATGTAAACAGCTGTTATGAACACCTCCGTGAACTCGCGGGGTAGATAATGTGGTCGACATTTCACTGTTAGTTGCTCCAAAGCCTCGGAGCATGAGTTGTTTATTAGTGTACAGTTTGTGCACCAACTTTTACTCACGTAAATGCATACTCCGCCTTCCCGTGACTTCCCCGTTAGCTCGCTGCAGCAGTCCACTCGGAAAAAAAGTCTGTCATCCAGCTGGAATGCTGAGTCCAGCATGTCACTGTTAAGTCATGATTCCATGAGACAAAACACCGCACATTTCCTCATCTCCTCTGAGGCACCCACTCTCAGACGAAGCAAATCCATCTTGTTGTCCAAAGAGCGGATGTTTGACAGAAAGAAAAAAGGTATCGGGAGTTTGCCATCCTTAGCGTTAGCTTTTAGCCTTACCAGCACCCCCGCCCAGCAACCTCGCTTCATAAGCCGGGAGCAGAGCCTCCTCTTCCCATTAGAGCGCCTCTGCTGAAGCTTTCAGGTAGATGACTTTAGGATCTGTGTTCTGCTGAGCGTAGATTTGAGATTATTGCTGATCACTGCAGTTCGATACGGCTATACTTCACACACATAAAGCATGTGGAGTCAGGCTCAGAGTAAATCTCAAAACTCCTAAAAACTGGGATTGCACCGGGAGCCTGTGAAGCTGCAGCTCCTGAGAGCGCGGCCATTTTGGCACACCAAGATTGTTCTTGAGGAAGCATCTCACTGTTCTGGTGGGGATGGTGTTGTTTGCAAGAAGTTTATATAGTCGGTCACACACTCAGTCATGGCATTGATGTCTTCTCCATGTAGCTAGCACATTGCAGCCCAGTCACATTGCATCCCAGTCTGTAGCTTCAAAACAAACAAGCAGGATTTCTTCAGCTTCCGTTGACCATTTTCTCACTGTTCTCTTTATTACAGGTTGTCTCTGAAATAGGGGTTTATATTTTGAGCAGAGAAACACAAGATCTGATGTGATCTGACTTGCCAAAAGTGGGTCTGGCTTTAGCAATGTATGACTCCCTGACATTTGCATAAAACAAGTCCAACGTTTTGTTTTCTCTGGTAGAGCTGACAAACTATTGGAATGTTGTAAGTGTAGCAGAGAGTAAGACATGATTAAAATCACCACATATTGCCACAAACGCACTAGGGTGTTGTGTCTGTAGCTTAGCAACCTCGGAGCTGATGACATCACACACAGTCTCTGCAACATCATTTGGTGGAATGTGAACAGTTGCCAAACGACGGTAGAATGGTAGCTAATTGGTAAATGGTATTTCTAATCCTAGAATGGTAGCTAAGCCAAAAATTAAGCAAGTATACTAACAGAGGTTTCAAAGATCACAAAGTTAATAAAGTTTGAAAATATATCAATTTATTTTAATGAGAAAACATTTGTTTAAAAAAAGTTAATGATTTAAAAAAAAATGTATGAACAAACAAAAATAATAAGGAAGACTTTTTTTTCTAAACCTTGTGTGAAAATAAAAGATTAAAATAACTCCAGTCATAAGACAATTTATTTTACTTCCTGGTTCATATGTTTCTTAGGTTGAAGCCCCATCAGGAGGAGATCAAGGTCAAGATCAAACTTACCTGTCCAGAGCAGCTGAGCCCAGTCTCTGTTTGATGATGTCACTGGTCAACAGCAGAGTTGGGCCTAGTGGATTAACAACCAAAACAAAACAAATGCAAACACTTTAAAACAAGTGATGTGTCAATGTCCCTCGCCGCTGACAAATTTTAATAGTGAACGTTTGTAGTTTTTGAGACGAGTGTTTTTCTGAATTGGAATAATTTAGGGATCATACAGTAAGTAAACGTAAATGTTTTAAGTGCAAGATATTCAAGTGGGTAGGAGTTACACTGTGGAGAAGAACAGAGAGATGTGATTTTAATTATCTGAGGCAGCCCAGAGTAAAAGATCCGGACGAGTGGAGGGAGAAATTTGTCCACCACCAGGTGCAATAGTAGATCCAGGGTGGTGGCCTTAGCCACAATAGATTAATTTTAGGCTACCCCAACCATTTGAGAAAACTTAAAATACTACTTTTAAGCAATAAAAAAACTAGTTTAAGTTTTAGTTTGAACTAGTTTACATGGCAGCAGCCGTCTTGAAATTTGAAATGGAAACCAACATTTTGATGGTGACCTTTCCTAAGCCTAGACGTAGCTACACACTAAAATAGAGGATGGTACTACCCTTATTTTTCAGGTTATCGTGTTCACGACATGTACGGATAGACAGATGGATGGACGGAGGGTATTTCCAATACCCCTTCTTAACTTCGCAATGAGGAACAATAAATAATTTATAAAATAGCCCTTCTGACTGTTTCAGTGCTCCATTTGCTCTTGGTCCTAATTACAAATGGCTGTAAAATCAGGGTTGTGTTGACAGAAGACATTTCTTTGAAGTAATATACATTTTTGTTCAAAAACTTCAAGATTTCACCCAGGAGAAACGTCTACTGCTTACAGTACTGCCAAAAAGCAAAGGAAATGTTTATGTACTTGTAATGAAGGTCTTCATTACTTATTTTGGTACACTTAAAATGTTGATGTTTGAATAGTTTAACTGAAAGAAGGACAAGGAGAAACAGATTGAAATATTTTATTGTTAGTTTGAAGGTGTTCTTGGGCAGCTCCTCAGCTGGTACTGATGACATGTCCTGTTAACAAAACAAACAAATGCATAAAATATAAGTATTCGTGTGACTAATCTCTGAAATAGGGTGAAAGATGTTTGAGTGTATCGTGATAGTGTAAAAGTGACTTACCTCTTCACTTCCTTTGCAGGGCGTTCAGGCTAAAATATTCCCCTGGGGCATGAGCACCTTATTAAAGGTTCCGGAAGTGACGATTATTGATTGAAGGGGGGGACGAAAACTGTGCACTTAAGAAGTTTAATGGTATATATTTATATCTAGAGAAAATGTGTTTTTAAGAGATGTGTTTAGTGATTGATAATGTTTGTTAAAGAAAGCATTTTGATGTTTCAGTTATTTTTTGTAGAAGATTATTAATGTTTATGTATTTTGTTTACCCTGCTTCATGGTAGTTCTGTTAATGGGAGGGGGTAGTAGACTATACAAGGCTGCCTATTAGCAACATTTTTTTTGGCTACTGCTGAGACACTAGAGCCCTTATCCACAGGTCTGGTTCTTGTAGGACCCTATTGTGCCTTATTTAGGCCAGTTCCGGTGGGACCGGTTTATTTCTGTCTTCACAGTGGCCATAATTCCCCTTTAGTGGGCAGATCATTAATATCAACGTGCCTTACCAGCTGGTGGTGTTAGTGTTACATTAAGCTCTTTACTAACCACCACTAACATGTATTAGAAGAAGAGCTAGAAAAGAGCACACAACCAAAATGGATGATCTCATTTCTGTTTTGAACATTCTGCTTTGCATATGGCTTTTTCTCTTTTTTTATGTACATATACATATCTAAAAAAGTTAAATCGGGTCCTCTGGACATTCAAAAAAAACAAACAAAAAAAACAAAGCAAAACAACAAAAAAATGTAGAAACGTTTCGTCTCTCATCCGAGAGACTCAGTCTGAGGTGCTGTATTCAGCTCAGTCTCTTAAATAGCACCTTCTCAGAGTGGATCAACCAGTTTTGCTGCTGACAACCAAAACCAGCTGATCACATGCTCAAGAAGGACCATCAGCCTAACAATGGATCATTAGCACCCTGATGACTGTTTACTGTTCACAGAGGGCTGAGTGATACTAGCAATCACAGCATTGTAAGAGGGGGACAGTTGAACCCGGAGGCCTCCATCCCTGTTTAACGATGGACGGTTTCTTTTCACAAAGATGGCCTCCTTTACTCCTCTCTCAAACCATCGTTCCTCTCTATCCAGGATGTGCACATCTTCATCCCTGAAAGAGTGACCGCTGGCCAGGAGATGAGTGTAGACCTCAGAGTCTTGGCCTGATGATGTTGATCTTCTGTGCACAGACAAGATTGTATTATTAAATTGTATTATTGTGTATTTACACAATTTACAGTGTGCAATGCATTTCCTGAACCATAAGTAAATCGTTTTGGTGACGCTTTGCGTGTAATAAGTGCTCGACTTCAGGTGGAGCGAAAAGTCCATTTGTTTATGTGTGAACTGTGCAAGTGAAGTTAGTCCGAGCTTTGTGAATTTAATTTAAAGATATAAGGACAATATAATCATTCCACTGCCTTAACTGTTAACTCAGGGTGTCATACAGCTGTTAAACTGCTAAGTCAGGGTGTCATACAGCTGTTAAACTGTTAACTCAGGGTGTCATACAGCTGTAAAACTGCTAAGTCAGGGTGTCAAACAGCTGTTAAATTGCTAAGTCAGGGTGTCATACAGCTGTTAAACTGCTAAGTTAGGGCGAACTGAGGCGTCGTTGCATAATACAGCTGTTAAAAACAAAGTATATGATGATCTGACAGGTTAACTGCTAACTCAGGGTGTCATGCAGCTGTTATTCAGGGCGGATTGAGGCGTCAGGGTGTCATACAGCTGTTAATAACAAAGTATGGTGATCTGACAGGTTAACTGCTACGTCATGATGTGATATGGCTAATTAAATAGAAGCGTATGGTGATTTCACAGCGGATAGATGCAGCCGTCAGTTTGCGCTACGCGTATGGTGATCTGACGATGTTTGCTGGCCGAACAGAACACGGCCATAGTTGTGTTTTTTTTTTTTTTTTGCCGGCCGGTCAGTTTGTCACACATTCCTACTGTATCTAACAATTGACTGGGATGTTTGATATGACATAAAATTCATATCCCTGTGATATCTACCGGTAGTATATTCTGATGAGAAGCTACACGAAGCTACATGCTAACTACGGCCAGCTAGCTTCTCTACTACTTAGCTCTCGAAGAAAACAGACTTTAACACTATTTACACACAGTTTTCAACTCAAAAACACGTAACAGTAAATATTGCTTTTTACTTACTTCCACAGATAACTTTTAGCTCGAGGAGATGACGCCCTGCCCGGCTCCGACGCTGCGGTGGAGAGGACCCGGGTAGACCGGCGGAGCTCCATCTAGCTCGCTCTGAATTTTGTCGTTGGCCAGCAAGCACATAAAAAATGCCAGCACTTCAGCATTAGGCCACGGTGTTGTCATTATTGTTTTTTAAATCTTTAAAATAGGTCCAGCCGCTACTCCGGGTCCGAGAAATTGCAAATGGCAGATCGGTGTTTTGAAAAGTTCTGAAAGATCCAGTGACTCCTCCCCCTGACCAATCAGTGACCGACAGTGTGCTGACGTCACATCTGGACCCAACAAGAACCAGACCTGGGACCCCAGAGAAGCAGGTCCCAAAAATCGTGCGGTTTCCACCACTGAAAGCACTGTGGAGAAACTACGCAATCGGCCCAAACTAGTTACATAGGAGCCCGAAAAGGCCCTGTAGATAAGGGGCTTAGGTGACCTGTGAAGCAGGGTCCTCTGTTCAATGTTGGTGAATAAACACCCAGTGGGTCTGCACCTTTTCTCTGCCTCAAGTCTCCTGCTTAATCCAGCCACTAAGAACCATTCTAACAGTACTGTATGTGTGTAAGTCTCTCTGTTAGCAAAAGAAATTCATGAACTACTTGAGGGACTTAACAAAACAAGTTCATCAACAACTGACTAATTGTGGAGCCGACCCAATTCAAGATGGCCGCCATAACCCACTGATCTTAAAAAACTCAAAATTGGGTATAACTTGGTCAAAACGTTATGTGGTTGTAGCTGAGAGTCATCCATGACATTTAGATGATCTCTTAAAGGGCCTGCAACACCATCTTTTCCTGATAAACACAAATGCATCATTGGAAAGAGAACATTAATAATGTGTTGCAAAAACAATTCACGCTGCTGAGATGAACGGTTGTTGAGATATTCACATGCTCTGTAACAGGAAGTGATATCAAAAAGAAACACCTGTACGTAAACAGAGCATTGATGGCTAACACCACAGACAGTAGAGAAGCTGATGTTTAGATTATTTGGAGTCACTATCAGAGACAGACGAAGAGTCAGAGTTCAAATAAGATTGTTTCAATAAACAAAGAACAGGAAGCTACACTTTTTAAAGAATTTGCCTGTGACGTCACTTCCTATTTTACTTTGGCTACACCAAGATCTAAAGAAAATATGCCAGTTTTGGAACAAAATGGGAAAAATCATGTGTATTATGCCAAATATTTTAATATAATTTTTTCATAACATTTTTATATTTGAAATGAATGTTACAGGGTCTTTTTTATTTTACTTTGTGCACCCAGTGTCTACCTGCACTTGGGTCTAACCTCACCGACCATAATACTAGAAGCACTAACTGATTTTACAATATCTCGATAGGTCACGCATGCCGTTATTTTGAAGATTTTTATGTTTGTGTGTGTGTGTGTGTACCGATGCCGCTGAGTGCATGCTGCAGCTCCAGAGTGAAAGACGTGAGGGGAACCTCATCAGACACAGGCAGGATGGTCACGGTGGACAGATTAGAGGCTGGATTCCCAGCATCCCACTTACTGGTGGGTGTGTGGAGACCCAAACCACGACCTGCAGGAAAGAGTAGGACTTCTGTTTCTGGACGTTGAAGTAAGCAAAGAAGATGTGCAACAAAAATCAAACTTAAACAGCTTAGTAGTAGAAATGCACGTGAACTAATTAAAGAAGGTAAATGGACTGTATTTTCTATCTAATCAAGATACTCAAAGCTCTTTACAACACAATCTGTGTCCTCACTTACCTCCACACACACATTCATACAGCACTCTACTACATCTCTACAAAGATAATCTGAATCTGTAGAGACTAATCAGAGCTTTAGATCACAATTATACACTGATGGGACACACACATCAGAGGCATTTATTCTGTGTCTTGCTCAGGGACACTTCAGCATGTGACTGCTGGTGGAATCGAACCCCCAACTCTCCCAGTGGAGGATGACTGCTCTAAACACTCAGCCACAGCTGCCCTAAAATGACAGACTAGTAACGGTTTTGATGACAGAGCTTTTAGATTTGACCTTCATTGTTCTGCTGATTATCTTGCTTATTACTGAATTCAGCTGCATCTTTATACTGACGGTATTAAGACGAGATTTCGATTGTGTCGGGAAAGAAGGCTCGAACTGATAGTAGGACCTCAGACCAGATCTTCATCTCTGCACAGTTGCTCAGGGGGTTGTGGGAGTGTGTCCAGTCTACATGTGCTTTAAAGACCTCGATAAGATCCATCCATCCATCCATTATCTTTACCCGCTTATTCCATTTTGGGTCACGGGGGTCGCTGGTGCCCATGTCCAGCAATCACTGTGCGAGGGGCGGGGTACACCCTGAACAGGTCGCAAGTCCATCACAGGGCCACATAGAGACAAATGAGACAAACAACCATTCACTCTCTCACTCACACCTAGGGACAATTTAGAATTACCAATCAGCCTAACATGCATGTTTTTGGTCTGTGGGAGGAAACCGGAGTACCCGGAGAAAACCCACACATGCACGGAGAGAACATGCAAACTCCACCCAGAAAGGCCCCTGGACCGGGGTTTGAACCAAGGACCTGCTCGCTAAGAGGCAGCAGCTCTACCAGTTGTGCCACCGTGCTGCCCCCTCGATAAGATTTATTCCATCAATGTTTTCCTCTGTCTTGCAGAGTAATGCATCAGAGAACAGTGACTTAGATCATCTAGTTGATCATCTTACAACTTCAATGCAAACTTCACTTGATAAAATTGCTCCACTGAAAAAGAAAGTAATCAATCAGAGGAAACTGGCTCCTTGGTTCAATTCTGAGTTACGTACTTTAAAGCAGGCATCTAGAAACCAGGAGAGAAAATGGCGCTCTACTAATGTTGAAGAATTTTATTTAACTTGGAAAGATAGTCTGCTAACATATAAAAAAGCTCTCCATAAAGCTAGAACTTTATATTACTCATCTTTAATAGATGAGAATAAAAGTAACCCTAGGGTTCTGTTTAGTACTACTGCTAGACTAATTAAAAGTCCAATTTCTGTTGAACCATGTATCCCTACAACTATAAGTAGTGATGACTTCATGAGATTCTTTATAATTAAAATTATTTCAATTAGAGAGAAAATTCAAACCATCATTCCTTCTACTATCTCTAGTCCCCTGTCAAATGAGACAACTTTAAAAATTTCACTAGAGCCTGATTTATGTTTGGACAGTTTTTGTCCTGTTGAGCTCTGAATTGTCAAAAATAATAACCTCATCCAAACCATCCACATGTCTGCTAGATCCCATCACAACCAGACTGTTTAAAGAGGTATTTCCCCTAATTAATGTCCACATTTTGGATCTACTTAATTTGTCTTTAATGGATGGTTATGTACCACAGCACTTTAAGGTTGCTGTAATTAAACCTTTACTTAAGAAGTCTGACTTTGATTCAGAAATTCTGGCCAACTATAGACCTATATCTAATCTAACTTTCATCTAAAAAATTCTAGAGAAAATAGTTGCAGGTCAGTTGCGTGAACATCTACAAAGAAATAATCTGTTTGAAGAGTTTCAGTCAGGGTTTAAAGCTCTTCATACCACAGAAACAGCACTAGTAAAATACACTAATAATAATAATAATAATGTCATCACAATGTCAGCACTGTATGTTTCCATACAATGGCGAAAATAGTCTCTGCATTTAACCCATCCACCACCAGGTGGTGCAGTGGGCAGCTATTGAAAGCGCCCGGGGGGCATTTTGGGGATGAGGTGTGCTGCCCAGAGACGCCACGTGATGTGCAGTGACTGGGGATCGAACCTGGGACTTTCGGGTCCCAAGCCGGCTGTGCTCATGGCCTCAGACAATGGACTTGTGTCTACTGGTCCTGTTAGACCTCAGTGCTGCATTTGATACAGTTGATCACAATATTTTACTACAGAGGTTTGAATATGATATTGGGATTACAGGAACAGCTCTAAAATGGTTTAAATCATATCTATCTGATAGATTCCAGTTTGTAAATGTAAATAATAAATCTTCATACACCAAAGTTAGTCATGGAGTTCCTCAGGGCTCAGTGCTTGGGCCAGTACTCTTTATTTTACATATGCTTCCATTTGGTAAAGTTATTAAACAGCATGGGATACATTTTCATTGTTATGCTGATGACACACAATTATATTTGTCCATTAAACCCAATGAATCCAATCAGCTACTTAGACTACAAGCATGTCTTAAAGACATAAAAACCTGGATGACCCTTAATTTTCTTCTGTTGAACACAGACAAGACTGAGGTTTTGGTTGTTGGACCTGAGCACCTTAGGAATGAATTTTTCAGTCTTTCTCCCTCCTTAGATGGCATTAATCTGACCTCCAGCTGTAATGTTAAAAATCTTGGTGTTATTTTTGATCAGGACATGTCTTTTATCCCATCCATCCATCCATTTTCTTCCGCTTATCTGGGGTCGGGTCGCGGGGGTAGCAGCATAAGTAGGGAGGCCCAGACTTCCCTCTCCCCAGACACTTGGGCCAGATCTTCCGGGGGAATCCCGAGGCGTTCCCAGGCCAGCCGAGAAACATAGTCCCTCCAGCGTGTCCTGGGTCTTCCTCTGGGCCTCCTTCCAGTGGGACGTGTCCGGAACACCTCACCAGAGAGGCGTCCAGGCCCAAGACACCTCAACTGGCTCTTCTTGAGGTGGAGAAGAAGCGGCTCTACTCTGAGTCCCTCCCGGATGATCAAGCTTCTCACCCTATCTCTAAGGGAGAGCCCAGACATCCTGCGGAGAAAATTCATTCTGGCCGTTTGTATCCGAGATCTCATTCTTTCGGTCACAACCCAAAGCTCGTAACCATTGATGAGGGTAGGAACGTAGATCAATCGGTAAATTGAGAGCTTCACCTTTTAACTCAGCTCTCTCTTCACCACGACTGACCTGTACAGCGCCTGCTTCACTGCAGACGCTGCACCTATCCGCCTATCGATCTCACGCTCCATTTTTCCCTCATTCGTGAACAAGACCCCAAGATACTTGAACTCCTCCACTTGGGGTAGGACCTCCTCCCTGACCCAGAGAGGGCACTCTACCCTTTTCCGGCTCAAGACCATGGCCTCGGATTTGGAGGAACTGATCTTCATCCCAGCCGCGTCGCATTCGGCTGCAAACCGCTCCAGCGAAAGCTGTAGATCACGATCTGATGAAGCCAATAAGACCACATCATCTGCAAAAAGCAGAGACGCAATCCTAAGGCCACCAAAACGGATCCCCTCAACACCTTGGCTGCACCTAGAAATTCTGTCCACAAAAGTTATGAACAGAATCGGTGACAAAGGGCAACCTTGGCGGAGGCCAACTCTCACCGGGAATAAGCCCGACTTACTGCTGGCGATGCGGACCAGACTCTGACACCGGTCATACAGGGACCTAACAGCCCGTATCAAAGGGCCCGGTACCCCATACTCCCAGAGTATCCCCCACAGAGTTCCACAAAGCACATGTAGACCAGTTGGGCAAACTCCCACGCACCCTCTAGGACCCTGCTGAGAGTGTAGAGCTAATCCAGTGTTCCATGGCCAGGACAAGAACTGCACTGCTCCTCCAGAATCCGAGGTTCGACTATCCGACGGACCCTCCTCTCCAGAACCCCCGAATAGACCTTACCAAGGAGGCTTAAGAGCATGATTCCCCTTTCTTGCACAACTTCATTCCTGCCATTCATTTATCCCCCACATTAAAAACATCACTAGAACTGCCTTCTTCCATCTGCATAATATCACTAAAATTAGAAACATCTTATCTAAAAATGATGCAGAAAAACTGGTTCACTCATTTGTCACGGCTAGACTGGACTATTGCAAAGGTTTATTATCTGGGTGTCCAAATACTTCCCTAAAACATCTTCAGTTGATCCAAAATGCTGCTGCCAGAGTCTTAACTGGAGTTAGTAGGAGAGATCACATCTCCAGTTTTAGTTTCTCTCCATTGGCTCCCTGTCAAATCCAGAATAGAATTCAAAATCCTACTTCTAATATACAAAGCTCTCAACAACCTAGCTCCATCTTATATTACAGATCTTATTGTTCCATATTTTCCTAATGGAGCACTTTGCTCTCAGACTGCAGGTTTACTTGTGGTTCCTAGAATTTACAAAAACAGAATGGGAGGCAGATTTTTCAGTTATCAGGCTCCTCTCTTGTGGAACCAACTTCCAATCTCTGTCCATGAGGCTGACACATTATCCAGTTTTAAAACTAGGCTCAAGACTTTCCTTTTTGATAAATCCTATAGTTAGGGTCAGCTTGGATTTCCTGAGCTGTCCCTTAGTTATGCTGCTATAGGCTTAGACTGCTGGAGGACAAACTGACCACACTTTTTCACTCTGCTACTGTCTTTACTTACTCTGCTCAACCTGTTTTGTATTTGTAATTACTTTTACTATCCTTAACATGTGTTTTTTTGTCTTTCAGATACTCCCGGACCTATATCTGGACCTACCATTATATGTTCGTCTGTCTCTCCTTCCTGTTCTCTCAACCAGTCAGTCAAAGCAGACGGCTGCTTGTCCTGAGCCTGGTTCTGTTGGAG